CCAACTCAAAAAAAAAAAAAAAATGTCGTCCAACATATATTTACTGAGTACTTACAACATGCTGATCTAGACACTGATGGGCAAAAATAGTCTTGATCCTTCTCTACTGCAGCTGAGGACATAAAGACCCTAGAAGAAAGGGGTTAGTGCTCTGAAGGATGGAACATGGCTCTATAAAATCATGCCACAAAGTTGAGGACTAAACTCTGATTTTTAACTAAGGAATTTGGAGAGATTTTTTTTTTTTAATTAATCCTCCATAATGCGGTTTAACTTTTCAGCCTGACTCTGACATAACAACACATAACAGAGAAAGAAGGAAAATACAGGTATTTAAAACCATGCAAAGCTGTCTTTTGGGGACTCTGGGCACTTTTTAAGACATCAACTTTCTCTGAAGTCTGCCACCTATGAGGCCTCATCTACATATCAAGAAACTTGGAACTTTTCTAATCCCTTATCTCAGCTGATTTCAAAATTCTTGGGAGTGTCTCTGAGCCGACTCTGGTTCAAAAACCTGCCTGGGGTGGGGGAAAAATTCCTTAGATAGGAGTCTAACTCTTTTTTTCTTTTTTTTGAGTTGGAGTCTCACTCTGTCGCCCAGACTGGAGTGCAGTGGCCTCTCGCGGCCACCGCAGCCTCGACCTGCTGGACTCCGGCGATCCTTCCACCTCGGCCTTCCGAGTAGCCAGAATTACAGGTATGCGCTACCATGCCCGGCTGATTTTTTTATTTATTGTAGACATGAGGTCTCGCTGCCCAGGCAGGTCTCGAACCCGCGGGCTCAGGCAATCCACTCACCTCAGCCTCCCAAAGGCGCAGGATTACAGGCTGAGCCACCGAGCCCGGCAGTATAACTCTTGATAATGATTGCCTGTCAGGAAATCTTTGAGTTCACCTATAACCTGCAAATACCCCACCCTCCTGGGCTAAACTAATGTAAATCTCATATACATTGATTTATGGTTGTCTGTAACTTCTGTGTTCTTAAAATGTATATAACCAAGCTACAGTGCAACTGCCGTGGGCACATTTTCTCAGGACCTCCTAGGTCTGGGTGTCGCAGGCCTAGGTCACTCATATTTGGTTCAGAAAAACCATCTTAGGCCACAGTGAGAGAATTGCCTGAGCTCAGGGTTTCAAGACCAGCCTGGGAAACTTGGTGAGAACTCATCTCTACAATAAATCAAAAAATTAGCTGGGTGTGGTAGCGCATGCCTGTAGTTCCAGCTACTTGGATGGCTGAGGCAGAAGGATCACTTGAGCCCAACATGTTGGTCAAGGCAGGGGTAGCCATGAGCGTGCCCCTGCACTCCAGCCTGGGCAACAGAGTAAGACTCCAACTCAAAAAAAAAGAAAAACCATCTTAAATATTTTATAGAATTTGGCATCTTTGTCAACAGAGGAAATAGGCCTAGTCTGAGAACAACAAGGGAGATTTTTAAAGAAAATGGCACAAACTGATCTCTGAAGAAATATAATAAATTAATAAAGTAATGGGGAAAATTTTCTGAGAGAACAGCATGATGCTAAGACTGTGGTGGGAAGGAGCATGCTAGCTGAGATTGAGGAACTAGAAAAAGGTCAGTGGTTGTAGAGGAGTGGTGTGAGATGAGGCTGTAAGACAGTGGGGAGCATATTAGCTGGGTTGTCTTAAAGATACTGGGCTTTTTCCTGAGGAGAGTGGGAAGACAAAGCAAGCAGGTAGCATGACTGGACTTGCCTTATTAAAAGATTGATCTGAAGCCAGGCTCGATGGCTCAGCCTGTCATCCCGCGCCTTTGGGAGGCTGAGGTGAGTGGATTGTCTGAGCCCGTGGGTTCAAGACCCGCCTGGGCAACGAGACCTCATCTCTACAATAAATAAAAAAATCAGCCGGGCGTGGTAGTGCATGCCTGTAATTCCAGCTACTCGGAGGGCAGAGGCGGAAGGATCGCTGGAGCCCAGCAGGTCGAGGCTGCAGTGGGCGGGAGCGGCCACTGCACTCCAGTCTGGGTGACAGAGTGAGACTCCAACTCAAAAAAAAAAAAAAAAGATTGATTTGGCTTATTAACCACAAAGTGACTGAAAAAGATCTCAATTAATTGAGATTTATTTAGCCAAGAGTGAAGATGCACCCAGGAAAAAAATGCAAGACACAGGAGCATCTGTGACCTGTGCTTTTTCCAAAGGAAATAGCACAGGAAATAAAGGGAGGGAGGCTAGGCAGTGAGACAATTGGTTACATTTTTGTGAGGCTCTGATTAGCTTCATTATAAATCTACATTTTACATATGAAAAAAAGAAATAGAGGAAAAAGTCAATTACACATTGTCTCGTGCTCAGTTAGTCTACATTTTACAAAAGATAAAGATAAAATGTTAAAAGCAAAGTGGGAGTAGAGGAAAAAGTCAACTATGTTTTCATCTCATGGTAGACGGAGGAATGATTTCTGGTTTTGTTCTTCTTGTCCAGTGAAGATAATCTGGTAATTGACATTGTCAGGATGATTCTCAACAGAACTCAGTTTTAGGGCTAATTTGTAGGGGTTATATATATAACTAACTCTAAAGATTTTTGAATTGTCAAGGAATTTCCTTGTGAGCAATTTGTGAGGGAGATCATCTGGGCAAGTATGTGGCCCTCTGTTGTGGTAACCTGGCTTATGAATGTATCTGTTTGGGAACAGTAGGAAAGCAGTAACTCAGTTCCTAAGCTTAACTTTGGCATTGTGAGTTTAGCGTCCCAAGATTCTATTTTCTTTCACAGGCTTCATGTGGATAACCTTATTTGTATGCTTGCCCATCTATAAGAAACAATCCAGACACTCTCAAACTTCAGTGAGCATCAGAATTACCTACAAGAGCCGGGCTCCGTGGCTCAGCCTGTAATCCCGCGCCTTGGGAGGCTGAGGCGAGTGGCTTGCCTGAGCCCGTGGGTTCGAGACCCGCCTGGGCAACTTGGTGAGACCTCATCTCTACAATAAATCAAAAAATTAGGCAGGCGTGATAGTGCACGCCTGTAGTTCCAGCTATTTGGAAGGCTGAGGTGGAAGGATCGCCAGAGCCCGGCAGGTCAAGGCTGCGGTGGCCGGGAATGGCCACTGCACTCCAGTCTGGACAACAGAGTGAGACTCTAACTCAAAAAAAAAAAAAAAAGAGATGGAAATAAATTTGTGAATTTGAGACTTGTTTAGATGCATGACTTTAACTTGTACTCTAAGATGGGAATGTTCCTGAATGCTCTGTGGGAGCAGTTGGTCCTCAATCTTT